GCCTGGGGTAGACACCTCCCTAATTTGTCAGTGGGTTTGAAGCCTATTGGTTGCCCTCGACCTGATTTAGCCCATCTGCTGAGATGGTTTTACCCAGGTGTGGCCATTGCTCATGCTTCATTTTCTTGGAACCACAGGTGAGAGTTGAGTGGGCACAAAAGGTAGACTCATCATAGTGTCATAGGATCCCAAATTTAGAATTGGAAGAGAATTCAGAGACCATCAAACCCAACCTCTTCATTTTACAGATGAGGTAAAGTGGATAGAGCGTTAGACTTGGAGTCAGGAAGGCTCATCTTGTTGAATGGAAATCTGGCCTCAGACACTCACTGGCTATGTACAAATGCTACAGAGTTTCTCCCCGTGATTGGGAGAAATGATTGTCAGTGATTGAATATGGTGATTTAATATGTATATGCTTCACTTTGAACAAGAGGCATGTTTCTGAAAAGTTGCAGGTTCACCAAATCATCTTAAGTATACAGCAAGAGAGCTTGTTATTTAAAGGAATCCTATAGTGAATCCCATATTATTTTAGAGAAGATTAATTAGGATAGCAAAAGCCCTCAAGTTCATGCCAAGTGACCATTGTTTGAAGGAACTGAGGATAAGATTAGGGGGATAGGGTAGGGGATATAACAGCACTCTAAAAGTTTTTGAAAAACTGTCATGGGGAGGGGCAAGGATTATGTGTGAAGAATCTATTATGTGAGTGCAGTAGAGTAGAAACTGGGGTCATAAGGGTTGAGGAGTTTAAGTTGCTATGAGAAAAGGATGTTAGAAGGCTAATGTTTAGGGCCATGTGAATTTTTTGAGTAGTAGTATTTTCATTTTACAAATAAAGAAATTGAGAGTAATAAAAAGTAACTGACTTTTGCCTATAGTTATGCAGCAACAGGTATTGGAGCTGGGACTTGTTCCCCAGTGTTTTCTCTCACACCTGCTGCTTTCTATCTTCTTTCCACTTTTTCTTCTTAAATTGCCTCTGTCTCCTATCATTTCAACCCTCTACTTCAGAATAAAAATTAAAAAGATTGTTCTACTTTAAGCAAATAACCGGCCAAAAAGATGATTGTTTCCTCCTAGTCAACTGACAAACTGTAAAGTCAGGTTTTTGTTAGTTTTACTCAGCACTTGCCACTAAGGAGGAACCTGTCTTCACTAGCAGGGATTTTAATGGTTGAGCCTTTTCTGGGGTATTTGAGGGCTCTGTAAAGTTGATTCCAAAGAACTAAATTTCCATTGTAGATTTGGGAGAGAGGCACTGGATATTGAGTAGCACATTTTCTATTACTTATTTAAAAAGCCTTTCCTTGATTGCATTCACTGGAACCTAAGGAGTGAAAAGGAGCTGTACAGAAGTAACGTTGGCCACTCCATATATGGAGCAAATCTTTGTTCTGTTTGCTTTAGGTGGAAGCACAGTCAGGAACATCATCCATCACAGCATTTCCTCAGGAACTTTCATGGTCCAAGCCATTTTATCATAGCTCAGGAGCTGATGTCACATTTTTTCATGGATTGTGTTCATTAGCCTAAAGGGATCTCATACACATCAGACCTTTCAGGCAATCCTTAAAAGGTGAACATTTGGCCAGTCATGTCTAAGAAATGACCATCAGTAGTACTCTGTAACTGAACAATACTAAGGCACAGTGCTTTTAGTCATGCCTGTGGCCATGTTAGAGTATAAGCTCCTTGTAAGTAGAAATTGTTTCATTTGTACCTAACAAACACAGTGCATGACACTTAATAAATGTTTGTCAGGTGATTTATGTGGGACAGACTCACCTCAGGAGCATTAAGGCATCTGAATAGCAAGAATCTGAATTAATTGAGCAAAAACAAAACTTTTTATAACTTGGGAAGACAATCAAAGGATAGGAGGAGTGGATTCAGACAATAGGGGGTACAATTCAAAGTGCAGATGAATGAATCTATAAGAACTGTTCACAGAATTAATGTCAAACTGATGAGGCCTAGCAAGTTTTGTGGGAGCCCCCAGGCTATTCATATAAGGGTAAAATATTAATGGAAATATCAGAAATTACGTAAGTAAATAAGCCTTTCAACATCCTGCATAGGGTGGGAGAAAGGACAGTCCTTCAGAGCTATAACGTCTGAACTCTCCAAAGCCCTTTATTCTGGTGCTAAACTTGTAGAAATATCTCACCGGAAAGATTAATTTGGGAGTAAGAGAATCTGGATTCAAATCCAATCTCTAACACTTATTGCCTGTGTGACTTTGGACAAATAATAATTATAATAATAATAAAGCATTTATACAGCATCCACTGTGTGCCAGGCACTTTGCTAAGTGATTTTACTGATCCTCACAACCACCCTGGGAGTCAAGCACTGAGGCCAATGACTTCTCTAGAGTACACACAGCTACTAAGTGTCTGACACTGGTTTTTCCTTCTGGCCCAGTGTTCTATGCACATTGTGCCACCCAGCTGCCTATGCCTAATTTATTTCACCTCTTTGAGCTTTAGTTTCCTTATCTACAAAATGAGAAGGCTGGATCCTAGGATGCAGGATCCCTCACAGCTTTGTATCTATTGTATTATTCTACACAGTAACAAAATAGCAAGCCTAGCATTTAATGGACCTAGGTCTCCTATCTTTTTGTCTGCTCTTTTTGTGCTTCTAGGACATGAGTTAGTCGTCAGGATTAACATCCCCAGCTAGGGAGAAGCAGTCCTGTTAGAGATGAAGAATCATAAGGCAGACTTCATTCTTCAGAGGCTAGGACAGAAAGACTAATATTTGGTGAAAGGGTCAGGATTCCAAATATGCTTAGTACTGAGGAGACTCAGCTAATAGAATCAGAGCCACAGATGAAGACTAGTCAAGGCCCACCTGGTTTGGGTCCTTGCTTGTCGTTGAAGCACTGCAGATCCATGGGAGATATCACTACACCTCAACTATCTGGAATAACAGTGTAGTAGGTGTCCCTAGGAAGGGGACATATTCTACTTGGGGAAGCCAGAAAATGGCCTTAAATGAGGTAGTTTTGGAGTGCTTTTTCATGGGCAGCTGAGGCTTAGGCATACCGGGTGAGGTAGTAGGAGCTTTGGTAGTCCCAAGTGAGGTAGTTTGACCTTGGTGGCCTTGTGAAAGGCACCAGCCAAGTTGACGATCTTCTCAGTGGCAATTCCCACTCTTTACTAGGGAAAAGACAGACTAAGGGAGTTTTCAGATCCAGAGGTAGTGCGGTAGTTGTAGATCTTCCCAGATAAAGACATATTCTGGATTACAGGGGGAACATGGCCACAGGAACAGGTGCCATTCCATCCGAGAAGGAGGAGCCTTAGATTCTAGAGTCACAAATATGACGGAACGATTTTATGACAATGCCATTAAGCTAGTAAAGGGACACTTTGCCCTCACACTTTTCTAACTTTTATGAGATATCCTAATGTTAATTATTAGTATGACCAGGCGAGAAATACCAAGACTGAAATGGTACTCAATCCAGCCATACTCCACTGTAATTATTATGTTCAGTGAGTAGATGACCCCAGAATATTTAGAGGACAAGGGAAAAAACAAGAGATACTTCAAACCTATTTTGAAACTGAATGCCAAAGAACAGGCCATAGCTTTGGACTCCTTGAAAATGACAGAAGCTGACAGATTCTCCTTATGTATGGCAGTCTAGGCATGGGACAGCTCTTTAAAAAAAAAATCAAATATTTAGACCGACTGCACACCTAAGTTATGTACAAGTAGTAGCTATAGCTACAAATTAAACAATCTTTGCATTTGCAACTTGTAGAAAAAATTATCATCCATGAATGTTTGACTTTGAGCACACATTTATAATCATTACACAATCTTTGAATTATGACACTCAACAAAATACATAGGATAAAATAACTAATTTTTAGCAGTTTATCCAGAATAGTTTGAAAGTAGAATATTGTAATTAGCCAATTATTTAAGTTTAGCAAGAGTTACTATATACACAATATGCATAATCAGAGAATTTCAGAGAATTTTAGATAATTAGAATGAAAAATATTACACTCTTGAATGCATCCAGAAGTTACTTTAGTATCTTGTAGTGCCCCAGAATCATCAGCTGGTGTATCAGTTAAAAGTTTTTAGTATTATGAATAGAGGTGATTGGGTAGTGTCTGTGTTGATCCTCTTACATAACCTTGAAAGTGCTCTTTTAAACAAACATGTTATCAGCTTGCTTAGTTGTCATTTAGTCTAAATAGTAAGCCTTTAAGGAAAGCTATGTCAAATCCAATTCTGTGTATCTAACCTTCATGGATAAATCACTTTTTTCTAACCCTGTTTTCTTTGTATCATTATTGACCTTTTCTCTCCCCCAGAATTGAAATGCTTGAAAAAGCAGGCAATTGAAACACTTTTGGAATGTTATATTCATCTTAAATATTCAAATTTACCAACTCAGAATTGTACTTTCAAATAATTCAGCCATTTTCAATTAATCTATTAATGGTATGTTTTGGTTTAAAGGTTTTGGAGCACTACATTATGGAGAGAAGAAATTTGGCCATCTTTAAGCCTGATTTCTTTTCCATGCTGTTACTCTGTTTTAACTAATGAATGTTAACTAGTAACAAGTCACCTATTTTCATGTCTAGGTTTTTGTTTATTCTTCATTTAGAAATGTTTAGAAACAATAATTAGTTGGTCCTTTCCATATGTTTGTAGATGTACCAAATAGTTTTTTAATAGCCTTCAAAATCTTGATGGAGATCAGTCAACAATTCTCTACTTTATTTTTTTAAGGTAATAAATGTCAGCTCTGAATTCCTCACAAATTTGTCCTGTCATCGAAATAACAAAAAAAATACTTGTTTATGTAACTTAGAACTAATCGTAGAAGTCTTCCCTGACTTTCTAGGAAGAACTGAGTCATGGGAGTCATTGGGAAAGACAGCAGAATGGGAGGTGTTAAAAACTGATTTTGTTGTTTTAGACTGTTTTACCACTTACGTGGTCTACATTTTATTTTACAGATGAGTTTACAACTAATTTTCTGGGTTGGATTGGTCGGTTGCTCAATCTGTCAAGTACGGGGCCAGACAGGTAAGCTAATCTGTTCTTTATCTCACTCTAACAATGAACACTGGGCTTTGTTTAGTGTTTGAGCTCCGATGTAATCAACACACCAGATTCCCTGCTGATGACTTTCCTCCTCTCAGCTTCTTTCTCCTCTTGATTCTCCTCCTCAGATTCTCTCCCTCCTTCTTGACAGGTCTGTCACCTCCCCTTCCCCTGATTGTTAATCAGCCAGACTTCTATTGCCTCTGGTCTTCCCGGCTCTCAATCTTTCCTTCGTTGCGTTTGTGAAATACCAACGGACTTGAATATTTCAGTCTTTTCCATTTCTCTCCAATAGCATGATGGAGAGGAAAGCATGCTGTCTTGAGTAAGAAGATTTGAATTCAAATCTCATTTCTAGTACCGCCTGTGAGACTCAGGGCAAGTCATTGAACCTCTCCGGCTGCATTCTTCTCACTTGTACAGTAAAGGTCATTTCTAACTCTAAATTCATGACCACATGACCCCAGCTTACCCCTCCAGATATCTGAACTCCTAATAGACCAGCCATTGCTTCGTTTGTCCAGTGTATTGTCCTAAACTGACTAGCCATAGTGCTTCCCAACCTAGGCCAGCTCAAACCTAGAGGCAGCATGATGTAGTAGAAAGCATACTGGCTCTGAAATGTATGTAAACAAGGAAGTAAAAAAGCCTGTGCCAGGCACTGTGCTAAGTACTGAGAATGCAAATATGAGCAGAAAGACAATCCTTGCCTCCAAAGAGCTTACATTTTACAGAAGAAGACAAGATGTGGTGAAGAAGGAAGAGGAGCAGGAGCAGAGATATGATACGAAGGTGCCCAGGAGAGTCAGAAGAGAAGAGAAATGAGGGCTACCCTGGATAGCCTTCTTAAACTGGAGCTTTGGGGAGGAGCCAGCCAGTCAGAGGGAGAGGCTGCAGGAGCAGAGGGGTACTTCCAGTGCATGGAGTCCAGAGCTAGCATGAGCTCCCAGAATTAAGTTTCTGGGACGTGGTAAAGAAAGTCCAGGAGTAAAGCCCAGAGAGATATCATGTATGTGGAAGACATAAGAATAAAATACTAAGGGGCAGCTCGGTGGCACAGTGGATAGAGCACCGGCCCTGAAGTCAGGAGGACCTGAGTTCAAATGTGGCCTTAGACCAAACACTTGACACTTACTAGCTGTGTGACCCTGGGCAAGTCACTTAACCCCAACTGCCTCACAGAAAAAGAAAAAGAAAAAGAAAGAACAAGAATAAAATACTAAAACAGCAAGAAAGTAAAGAAAAACTGTGTGAAAGAATGTGTATTCAGGAAAAACTATGCAAGGGAGAAAAAACAGCTTTACAAGATGAAGATACATGTTATCACTTCAACAAGTCAATCAAAATCTAGGTCAGAGAGAAAAAGTGATGTCTGTAATACCTGTGAGTAGGAAAATAGAGACCAGGAAAGTGTCCGTGTCCACAAATATGATTAGAAATCCAAGTCTGTGACTCTAAGTATGGTTTATTCAGAATTTTAAAATATCCCTTTTCTGCACACACATATGGTCACCTCTCTGTAGAGAATTTTAAAAGCAAAATAAACCACATTTGTAATTATGGAAAGCCAGCATTCTTTCATTAAGGTAAAACTTTTCCAAGGCTTACTTTACTTACAGAATCACTATTTGAAGACAATTTCTGTAGCAGGTGAAAAGTAGAATCTGTTTAATAAACATCATTGAACACTCAAGCTGGGGGAAATATGTCTTATTAACCTATTGGAATTCTTTGAGGGGGCAAAGTAAAGCCTTGGATACAAGCTTCTCATCAGAGGCTTTTTAAAAAATTAATTTATCAAAGAAGGGATTGAAGGGTGACATTGGTTTGTTATGCATAGGAACAAGGATCATAAGACTGATAGGATCATAGATTTAGATATGACAAATACAACCTATGAAAAGACAACCGACACAGTGACTACATCTGACATGTGCATTGTTTTGTTCCTATAATCCCCTTCCTTTCAAGAAGAGGCAATTATATTTCATTATCTCTTCTCCGGGACCAAGATTAATTCAATTGCTCAGAGTTCAGATACCATTTAGTGTTCTTTTCATTTATTTTATTATAGCCACTGCATATTTTTTTCTTCTGGTTCTGTTTATTTTTTCCTGCATCAATTCATATACTTCCTTAATTCATTCCCTCATATGCCAACCATTTTTCTCTGAATTACTCACATTTTGTGATTTATTATATTCCTATGCCATAATTTTTGCATCCAGTTCTCAATCAATATCCAGTCCTTAATCAGTGAACACTTGCATTTTTTCTAGTTTTTTGCTACCTCAAATAGTACTGCTATGAGTATTTTGGTACATTAGGACCTGTGTTTCTGTCTTTGACCTCTTTGGGGTCTATGACTAGTTCTTCTGGAAGAATATATTCATAAGGTGATAGACATCTGCAAGCACCTCTTTAGTGTCTGAATCCTGAACCAAGTGTTTATCCTCTCCTGTGCCAGTCTTCTCACTGAAGCTGCTGAGCATCAATATATAATATATATGCTCATTGAGTTTGGAGGATCTTAATTCTTAAAATAATTTCTGTACTTCTTTAGACACTGCCACATAGAAGGCACTTATCTTCATCGTGGTCTTTTTGCTTATGTTCATCATGATGAAGAGATGAACAAGTATCTATGAAATAATGTTTTTTTCCTTCCTTTGGATATACAATGAAACCGTTCCACCACTTCCTCTACATGTCAGAGAAACAAATCTGTGAAGTTTTCCTACATGTTTGTTTTTCCCAGGTATTGACAAGATCCTACTGTTTGTTTTCTTATATTAAAAAAAAACTAGACCCAGTAGAACAAAATTTTGCTTTAAAGGCTGTGCGCTAGCACAGTGGCTCTTAGGCATGTGTTCAGGTCATACAGGATTTCTTGATCAACTACAGAGATAACTTTCTTCAGTTATCCAAGTTTTATTATTCAGTTTCCTTAGGTATCCAAGGCAGAAAGTTAGAGAGGTGCTGACCAAAGGTGAATTGCACAGCGTCCACAATGAAACAGGATTTTTTTAGAAATGGTAATTTCTTATAGAGTCCTACTTGCAAATGATGTTGTTGCTGAGTGCATGAAGCTCAGAGTATCAAAAGACCTAAGTGAAATTCAAGGACCACTTACAAGATCAGCTTCACAGTTCACACAGAAAAAAATAAATAGATTTTAAAATGTCATTTGTTGTGAAGATTGACTGTAAATTAGGCTGAGGATTATCTAGAATGAATAAAGTAGAGCACATAGCATTTGGGAAATTATAAAGCACTTTTAATCCTCCCATGCTGCTTCCCTACACAGTCCTTTTAACACCAGTATTTTTCTGGTAATTCTTACATAACCATGGCAAATGGATAAAAATCATGAAGCAACACACTTTCTGAAGAATCTTTCAGGTGACTCAAAGGGCAGTGGAGAAATTTAGTGGCTGTAAGTAGGTTATGTTGTGTTACCACCAGTGATTTACTTAGCAGAAGTGACAAAAAAGATATTATCCAGGAAACGTAGGGGCAGGAAAGAAGGTAGGCTGATTATGTACCAAATGTGAAGAGTAACACATGAAGAGTCCAGGGATGGTTGAAAGAAAGTCTTCATCACATTGATATCACAAACAAGAGTTGTAGAGTAAGAAGGAAGGAATTTGTATCACTAAAAGTAGCCCCTACACATTGATGAGATAAGAGAAATTCTGAAAGGCAGAGGTTAAGGGGGCATACATTCCATTAATTGGCAATACCTATGTAAATTCATGAAGACAGGAAGTTGCATACTGAGTGGGGAATAGCAGGTAGTCTAGCTTGACTGATGTAGTGTGTGGAAAGGGGGAATCATGTGAAATATGATAGGTTGGAGACATCATGTTGTTGGGCCTTAAAGACCGAGCTAAGAAGTATATGTTTTATCCTAGCGATGGTAGGGAGCTACTGAGAGTTTTGATCAGAGGAGTAGCATGATCTATGTGAAGTATGGGTCAGAGAGGGGATAGACTAGAAGCTGGGGAATCATTTAAAAGGCTTTTATAGTCCAGGTGAGAGTTGATTGGGGCCTAAACTAGTTTGGTAAAGAGAAAGGAATAAATGGAAGAGATGTATAGGTAGCAGCCACAAGACTTGGTAACTAAAATGGAACAACTATAAGAAAACTTAGACACTTACAGGACTTAGCACTCTAGGGTAGTACAGTCAACAATTATAAGCCTAATTCGTGAATTTATGCAGACAGCTAGGTGGTATGGTGAATAGAACACTGGGTCTGGAGTCAGGAAGATCTGAGTTCATATCCAGCCTCGAGACATTTACTAGCTAGCTGTGTGACCCTAAGCAAGTCACTTAACTTCAGTCTGCCTCAGTTTCCTCAACTGTAAAATAATAATAGTACCTACTTCCCACAGGTGTTTTGATGAATGGAATATATAAAGTGTTTAGTTAGCATATTGCCTGTCTCTGCTGCTAAGAGTGCAGTCTGATGGGCAGACTATGTTGTTCGAATGAGAAACATAGTTTGCCTAAAAGACTATTTTATGGAGAACTCACGCAAGGCAGGCACTCCCATGGTAGTCAAAAGTAAAACTACAAGGACACTCAATGTCTCTCTGAAGAGAGATTTGGAATCAGTTGCAAGACACTGGCAAAGGACTGCCCAGCGTGGCATACTCCCATCAAAGAAAGTGCTGTGCTCTGAGCAAAGCAGAATTGCAGTAACTCAAAAGAGATGAGATGAGCAAATGTAGAGACATCTCCACTCCGAACGTTTATATGAACTGTTTGTGCCCGACTTGTGGTCAAGCCTTATGAGCTCATACTGGTCTGATCAGCCGCTGTAGGACACATTGTACTTTGATCCCAACGTAGTGATGTCATTTGGCCCTTTTTGAGAACGAAGGACAACAGCACAGTGCTTAGCACATAGTAAATGTTGTGTATGTGCTTATTCCCTTGTACCTCCTCTACCTCTTCATAGTAGCCAAAACCTGCAAACTAAGGGGGTCCCACTTATTACAGAATGGCTAAATAAATTGTAGTATATGAATGTAATAGAATATTTTTGTACCATAAGAAATGAAAACATGGAGCATTTCAGAGGAAACTGTGAAGACCTTGGATCTTATGCAGAGTGAAATGAGCAGTTTACATTGACATTACAGAGAAAAACAACTTTGACTTCTAAATCTCTGATTAGTGTAATAAATCACTAGTCCAGAGGACTAAAAATTAATCACACCACCCACCTCCTTCCAAAGAGGTGATGAAATTAAAAATCCAGAATGAAGAATTCATTTATGTACATGGCCAATGTGGGAATTGTTTGCTGGACCGTACATGTTTATTGTGAGGTTTTTGTGTGTTTTTAAAATTTTTCGTTTGGGGGTACAGTGAAAAGGAAAAGATAACAATACTTAGAGAGCTTTGTGATTTTTAAGGGCTTGTATTCCTTCTTCCTTGCTTCAGGATTTTATTGAATTTTCTTCCTTTTGAAATCTTTCGTGTTTTAGCCTTCTTCTTTGTATTCCCTGTTAATCACTTCCTGATTCCTTTCCCCTGGCCTTGGGTAAATCCTCCAGGACTGGATTTTGGGAACTCCTTGAAGCTCCTTTCATGGGCTCTAGGCTTATCTATCCCCCTGCTCTAGTTCCTCCCTAGGCTCATCTCCTTTCCTTCTGTGTATCAATGTCCAATGCAGAAAAAGTCAGATTTTTTTTTTTCCCCAGAATGGGAGCGCACTGGGGAGAGTGTTTTGGAAAAATCTCTTCAACCTTGGGGATCCAGAGACAGAAGGCAGAATGCTTCTCCCCTAGCCCATTTCCCTTCTTTTACCTCAGTCCCCTTCACATACACACTTCTCCTGATGTGGCTGAGCAGGGTTAGCATCTACTCTTGTAGATATAGGGGAGCAGGCAAGAAATGTAGCCCAAGAGGAAATTGCAGCATGGATCCAGGCCCAGGCCTTCAGCTCAGCTTGTGTGTCCCTACCTGGAGGTGGAGGCTAATGTGGGTTATAGACTAAGTGCCTCAGGGATTAGCATTTTCAACTTTTGACTCACAAAGACTTTATGTTGTCAGAGATTTCACTTATTTTGTTCTGTGGATTTAGTTGTAATTCAATATTTGACGTGTAATTCTTTTTTGGGGGAGTAAGGAAATTGAGAGTCAGTAGGGCCTGGGAAAAGTATCAAGTTCATTATCTCATTGTGACATTTATCATTGTGAACTAAATTCATCTTAATTAGAAAATCATAAGATCATAGGTTTTGAGCCAGAGAAAATTCAGAGACCACCTAATTTAGTCCCCTTACTTTATAGATGAGGAAAATGAAACCCAGGAGTAAACACAGAACTGGGATTGGAACCCAGATCTTCTAACGCTCTAGAAAAAAGTGGTTTTTCCACTGTCCCATGTGTAATCCAGCATTATTATAGATTATATTTTATAATATTTTTAATTAAAATGACTCGGGTTCTTTTGAACAGGTGGAAATGACTGCTTAAAAGCAAATGCAAAATCATGTGGAGAATGTATTCAAGCAGGACCAAATTGTGGATGGTGCACAAATTCTGTAAGTAGTGTAAATTGCATATAGTTTTTCACATGAATATAGTACTTGCACATATATTAATTACACTCAGTTTTAAAAATTTTGTTTTTGTCCTGTTTTGTTTATGGGGATGTGGGATTCCTGCCACCATATTCCTTATGTAGACATTGGCTATCTTTCAATTCTCAGGTGGTTACTCATAGCTTTTCTTAGGTTTGTGTGCCTCTAGAATGACATCCTTTCCTTGTATCTCTTGAATATGCCTCCTGTTCTTCAAAATAGTTCATATCTTCTACAATACCTGCCTTTCTAACTAAATGAAATTGTAGATTCTCAGAAGCCTCCAATCTGGCCAGCAAAATTACCTATAAAAATATGTATTGGGGCAGCTAGGTGGCACAGTGGATAGAACACTGGCCCTGAAGTCAGGAGGACCTGAGTTCAAATCCGGCCTCAGACCAAACACTTGACACTTAACTAGCTGAGTGACCCTGGGCAAGTCACTTAACCCCAGTTACCTTAAAAAAAAAAAGATATGTATCCATATCTTGTCTGTGAAGTTTTCATAGAGCATTTTGTTTGGATCTCTGCTTTCTCCCATCACTTTCTGTCTTGCTTTGTACCTTGTACGTGGAGGTTTCCACTCAGTTAAATAAAATCTACTAAAGGGAAAGACCTTCTCATTTTTTTGTCTTTATATTGCTAGCAAGTAACTCAAGTACTTTGCATAGAGTAGAGTTTGATAAATGTTTGTTGAATTTTAATTTACCTACACTACTGGGAGTATATATTCCAAGTCGCACAAAACCCAAGATTCACTTGTATTTGACTTTGAAATGTCCTAGATACTTTGACTGGTTACAAATGACTGGTTCTAATTACATTTGATTTGACTTAAATGAAAGTTAATTTTCATTACCTGAGTATGCAACAAGTAATGATGAGGGAGTCCAGCCAGAAGTGGGGTGAAGCAATGGAGGAAAGCTCAACGGTTGATTCTATTTAGATACACCATACTACCCAAGCAGATCACACCAGATTGCACACTCTCACTGTTGTAAACATAGATGCCTAAAGAACCGAAAGTGCTGAGGCATTCACCCTCAGCTCCACTTGGTTAAACTGGAGACTACGAGGAAGGTAGAGAGTGCTGTAATTTTCTCTAATCAGTCACCCCAATATATTTGTGAGCTTGAAGTTTGGTTTTCCCTTATCTATCCTGGCTGTACCAAACTATTTCTGAAGGAGCAGTCCTTATTCTCTAAACCTCCAACTATTCTAGGCATGTATTGTTGGAAACTGCGCAGAACCCTGTTCCTCCCTGTAGGAGCAGTTGTGCCAGCCAGCTGTTGAGTATTCACAGTGATGGTTTAAAGACTTGGCATATTCAACACAGTTTACATTTTTTATTATCCAGGATCTTTATGGTGTGTAATCTGTAGAACAGCGGAAGTTGTAGTTGGGGATTTTTGAAATAATTCACAGTTGGCTGTTGATGATATTAAATCATGTTTCAAAGGAAAAGGGTTAAAGATATTTTTTCCATGAGCTCTGTATACAATCAACACTTATATGTGTGTTGGTCAGTGTTTTGAAAAGCTTACTTCACTAGTGTGATTTTTTTGTTGTTGTGGAGGATAGTTTTAGTATGATAATGCCTAGAAGAGTGGAGGTTTGATTTAGCTGACCTTCTGTTCTTTTAATTATGCAGATAATCTTATAAGCCATCTCTTCGGACAAAAGCTATTTATATTCAGGGTTTTTTCTCCCTCTACAAACTAGCTTGTAAAAGCTAGTCTATTTTGCCTTTTCTGTTTTCTGTGCTATATTTGCTTTATGCCATGTGATATATTTTATGGATAATTAAATATTATTAATTGATGATGATAATGATAGCTAACATTTACATAGTGCTTATTATGTGCCAGGCACTGTGCTAAGTGCTTTATAGTTAAATCTCATTTGATCCTCTCAAAACCCCTGGAAGGTAAGGTGCTGCTGTTATCCCCATTTTACAGTTGAAGAAACTGAGACACAGAGGTTGAGTGAATTGTCCAGAGTCATACAGCTAGTAAATATCTGAGCCCAGAATTGAACTTGGGTCTTTTTGACTCCAGGCCTGGCATTCTTTCTACTGTGCCACCTAGCTGCCCCATTGAATTGTTAGGTATTAGGAAACAATTAATCTAAGATGTATTTAGGTTCTACATTTCTAGAAAAATAAGAGAATGGGGATAGGATTGTTAAAACACAACTTTGCACCACCCACTTCTGACCAGGGAAGCAAAGCCCCAAAGACCCTAAAAGTCTCCCACAAACTTGGTCCTGGCCCTAAGATCTTCACTAGGATTTCCTAATAAATATTAATATCCAATAAAAAAAACCACAACTTTGTATGGAATAGTCTTTTTTTTTTTTTTAAGAAAGTTTTACTGATTTTTTTTAAATACTGTTGTCATTTCCCAGTAATCACCCACCCACCCAATTGAACATTTTTTTATGTCTGTCTGACAGCATATGCCTCATTTGACACCTGCAGTTAACTGTTTCTCTGCTGAGAAGAGGGAAATAGGCCTCTTTATCAGTCCTCTGGAGCCAAGATTGGTCAATATGTTGGCCCGAGTTCTGATGTCTTTTATTATTGCTTTTCTTTAAAGTGTTGTGGTCGTATGTATTCTCTTGGTTCTGCTTACTTAATTCCTCTTTTCAGTTCACCTAAAATTTTCCGAGGTTTTCTAAATTTTTCATTTAAATTATTTTTTTCTCTACTGAAAGTATAAGCACTCATGTCTGGGCAGGGGAAGCTTGTTTAAAAGTCAGAAAATTAATGCCTAGTGTTGAATCTTTTGTGTAATGAACAATATTTCAGCTTGTGATTATTTTTGCCATAATTTCTCGTATATGTTTATATATGATTTAGTCATTTTTACAAGAAGGAATGCCTACTTCTGCCCGGTGTGATGATTTAGAAGCATTAGAAAAGAAAGGCTGCCGTCCACAGGACATAGAAAATCCTCGAGGCCACAAAATTATCCGGAAAAATAAAAATGTGACAAATCGCAGTAAAGGTACAGCAGAAAAACTGCAGCCTGAAGATATTACTCAGATCCAACCACAGCAACTAACTTTGAAGTTACGCTCAGGTAAGAGTCTTTAATTCCAATGTCATTATGACTCTCATTGTGATCCTAATTTCACAGGTGCTGCTGAGGACTGATTTTCATAAAGCGAGTTGGCATTCTCTTAAGGGCAAAGAATATATTGAATTTTAGGAATTAACTCATTTTTAGCAGATTCAGTAAAGATTCAGTAAAGATATCAGTAGCTCCTTAATTTAGTACTTCGAAAGGACTCTATATCATCAATATGCTAGTGCTTATGCTCCAGTGAAATAAATAATCTCTTCTTTAGATACAGCCCCACCATCATGCCTTTAGTAAATGGTTTTAGGAGTTACTGTGACCAAAAATGTGACATGTCATTCACTAAATTAGTTTACTGGACCTGTCAGAGCTTGTGCTCTGCTGATAAGGTTTCAGAAAAAACCTGGGGCCATCTTCATACCACAGTGAGATGTCCAAATCTTTAGAGAAGGCAGTGTATAGACATTATAGGAAAGATATAAAAGGAGTGAATTAGTCTTTCCCTCAGGGAGCTTATGGTTACTAAGAACTTATTGTCCTGTCACAGTCACTATTTTAGATGTGTTTTCTGAACAGTGTGTCACAACATAAAATCTGATGGCAGGATAGTAGAGACATTTTTAGGAACTAAAATGAAGTAGAGCTAACACTTGAATCCATTATTTTGTTATAATCCTACTTTCTAGTACTGTAAAAGAATGCTTATTTTTTTATATCTGCATTAGTCAGTCAGTGACAGAATTAGAACTATAAACTTTTCAGTAGAAATAGTAATATTAGATATGAAGTGAATGTAATGTTGATCAAATTATTTTCATTTTTTCATATTGGTATATTTTGGGCTTCTACTAACTTTATTTGATTTCTTTTTTAACATTTGTCTTATTAGGAGAACCACAGACATTTACATTAAAATTCAAGAGAGCTGAAGACTATCCTATCGACCTCTATTATCTTATGGATCTCTCTTACTCCATGAAAGATGACTTAGAGAATGTAAAGAGTCTTGGAACAGATCTAATGTACGAAATGAAGAGAATCACTTCAGATTTCCGAATTGGTAAGAGTGTTGGAAAGATACAAATGGATTTGATTTTAATTCTACCACATAGAAAATGTGCTTCTTTTCATAGCAGTTACAAAATCTTAAAAATAAACAAATAGATACTTTCTTTCCCCAAGATCCTTTACCATGTCTCTTTTAGCACTGAAAAATCTTAACTCCCAGATTTATTTCAGACGTAGACTTCCATTTCACAGCCATCTCCTTTTTGATTTGTCTGTATTTTCCACTTCACATATGTGTAATTCACTTCATGTCGTCCTCAAATCCATACCTCCTTATGTTCACTACTGCAGCATCAAGGACTATATGTTGAAATTACCATATAACTTTTAGAAATCTCACAGTAGTTTGAAAAGACTAGCTCTTTCTGTCTCTCTCTTTTTAATCTATTTATTGAGGAAATGCTATTCTTCCCAAATTTTTCCTGCTTAAAAATCTGTTGGGTTGGGAATGGGAAGCTAAGCTAAGAAAATTTAGAACTAGCTATCCATTTCTTGCTTTTATTTATGTAACAAGCATTATTGATGCATATAAGATTTAACCTAAGCTCTTTGTAAAGAGAAGATAGTTTCTCAGGTTTTCAAGTAAGTTGTCTTTTCAAACTGTTTAGACCCAGAACATTAGACATACAAGTGCAAAAACACATTTCACAGCCAGTATGCTAGGAAAACAAAGGTTTTTTTGTTTTGTTTTTTTAAGTATGGCATGGAAATTTTGACTTGATTGTAACAAGTTATTACTGATAATTTTAAGTTTTAAACCCACAAATTATCATTTTTCTAATAGGATTTGGTTCCTTTGTGGAGAAAACTGTGATGCCATATATTAGTACAACACCGGCTAAACTCAGGAACCCTTGCACAGGCGACCAAAACTGCACCAGTCCATTTAGCTACAAAAATGTGCTCAGTCTTACAGATAAAGGGGAAGTGTTTAATGAGCTTGTAGGAAAACAGCACATTTCTGGCAATTTGGATTCTCCAGAAGGGGGATTTGATGCAATCATGCAGGTTGCAGTTTGTGGAGTAAGTACTTAATTCTTTATGATTAGTTACAGTTCCATTATCAGTCAGCAGAAATAATAAACATATACCCATATTATTATACTTTAGCTTTCCAGAGTTGCATAGTTTAATGCCATATAGGTATTGTGTGAGAAAAGCATTATTATAGTAATAATTAGAATTATTATTATAATTCCACTTACAAGGAGAGGGAAAGTTTGAAACCCTCATTACATAGGGTTTCAAAAATCAGTTTTTCAGTGATTTTGAAACAATAGAGGAACCCAGCCAGGAATCCTGATTCTTGAGTTCATGTCCTCTCCTCCTTTAAAAAAAAAAATAGTTGGCCCAGGTATCTCTGTATTGTGGTGCTTCTTCCTTTCTGGCTTTGTGGCATCAAAGGAGCTTTGGGACTTAATTCCTAACATTAATTTTTAATTTGTTTATGTGCTGTAAGAGGAATCAAGGTACAGAATGACACTTTGTACCTGTTGTCTTAGTAAATCAATAAAATCTTATTTTAATCTTTTTTTAAATGCTATGTGTGTGCCTGTTTATGTATTTAGTAATGTGTTTTCTAATAAGCTGTGTATGGTTTGTATTTAAAATGGTTAGAATTTATTTCAGAAGATTAGTTTTTCAGTTAGCCTGTACTTATAGATGTCCACAGGGGCACTACACTACATTCAGCACTCAGGGTGTATGTTGCGCAAGGGATTGGCAACAGAGTCAGAGTTGACCCTTGGCGAAATTTTGAAATAGATGAAGTTTGCCTTTAATACATTCCCCTTTTCTTCCCTTCATCCTCCATTCCCACCCTCTATGTTCTACCTCCTCTAGGAGCCTAGCGTGTTTCCGTTCCTGCTCTTGGTCAGCTAAAGTGCTAATGATTCATGAAGATATAGCTCCATTCCTGGTGACCCCATTCATGAATCTGTGTTTCCAACAGGGGACTATTTAATGTCACTCTCTTTTAGGGTGATTGCAGAAATGCTATAGCTGCAAAGCTGAAACTGAGAGAGCATTTACAACGTCTTAAGAGTTGTGAAGAACCTCAGGATTGTTGAGTCAATTCCTTAATCCACAGTGGTGACTGTGCTCCCATCTCCTATTCCCTTCCCAAAGGACAGTGCTATCTGTTGTCTACTTCCCTCAACCTGTAGGCATAGGAGAGTTAAAGAATCCCTACGTAGGAACAATTTTCACCTTCAAGGAGTTTATGCTCTGACGTTCTAATTAGGAAATAAGCCAAGACAGATGTATTCAGCAGATCAGGAAAAGTATATGAACAGAATAAATAAGGCTATGAAGACGCTCTGAATCAGTAATTATACTGGTAGACTAGAACATAAAAATGAAGGTTTGGAATTACAAGGCTCTAAAAAGAGTGTAATATGTTGGCACCTGAGGCAGAGGAGGAAATGTGAATTATAGTTTGAGGATGGAATATGAGAGAGACATAAGGCCTGATGAACTAAAGATTCAGGATAGTTCACAAGGTTAGAGAGAGTTCCTGTTTGATGGTCTTAGGCTTTTTTGTCGATTATCTTTTAGATATTATAGAATAGAAAACACCCCCAGAAATGTTAGGTAAAGAGTACCATAGAGATGAAAAGGAAGCTAAAAAAACTGAAAGTTTAAACATGTATGTTGGGTTACTTTTTGTTTTGTCTTTAACATTCCTTTTTTTCTTTATAAGTCATTAATTGGCTGGAGAAATGTTACACGACTGTTGGTTTTTTCCACTGATGCTGGGTTTCACTTTGCTGGAGATGGTAAACTCGGTGGAATTGTTTTACCAAATGATGGACAATGTCACCTAGAAAATAATGTGTACACAATGAGCCATTATTATGTGAGTGCTTAATTCCTTTCCTATTAAATTTTTTGAGACTTCATTAAAGAGTGTGTGGGAGTTTGGGGGTTTGGGGTTTTATTATTTTGGTAGGTATGAGGCCTAACGCATACTCAGGAAAGCTAGTATTGCTGTTTTTAAATATGTGGCTTTGTATCCACTTTTGCCCAGTCATGATGGGCTTGAGTGAAGAAGATGCTTGGTGCTCCTTCTCCACTTTCATTTATTCACATGTAGACCACTGTCATGTGGATTATAATAGACAAAATTTTCCTTTTCCTTTCTCATTTCAGTCTAGAACTTGCTAATTATTTTGGACAGTATGTTTTACTTCAACATGAATTCACGTTATACTTCCACCTCCTCTTTCTTTGATTTTGCTAGCTCCTGTTTAAGATTCATAGCTCAAGAATTTTTTATAATGTTTCTTCTAATTTTCTCTTAATCTTTGGATCACCTTTAAGAGGTGAAGTTTTTGTCCATATTTTTAATGGTCCATTTGAGTTTTCATGTACTTCTTGTTTCTGCATACTGTGAATAATTGGTTACTTTGAGGTTTGGAAAGCCTCCTCAGAGTGAGCTTCTCCATTATTAACTTTTCATGTGATACGGAGCAGTTTTTTAAGATATTTGTTTTTCTGATCTGGCCATGTGAAATGAGAGGCCCCAAGCTTTTGTCCATTATATAACCATTCTTTTTTTTTTTAGAGAGTTCCTCTAAATATATTTCTCAGCACTTAATGGTTCATACTCCTGAAAGCCTCCTATTCATTGAGGAAATGCTTCTTCTGAAGAATCAAAGGAATGCTATAATTTTCTCTCTTTATCAATATTTCAAAAGATCTATTATTTTTCTTTGAAGGCTATTCCCTTCATTGACATATATCACAACTACTCTGTACCTTAGTAGATGACTTCATAAGTTACTGTGGCCAAAATAACCTAATAGCCAACCTTGTACTGATATCCTTCTCTATACTTTTATGGGTTAGTCTTGGAGTGAGTGGCATTCAGTTGGCTGCCTGGTCTGATCTCAAAATCTTTCTGGTTTCATATAGCTCTGCTAGAGCTTTTACTCCATTAACATTTAACTTTTGAGAATCCAGAGTTAATTACACACTACAATAAAGTTTTGAATGAGGAATTTAGTGGAAAGGTGCTCTCCCACCCAATGCAAATTGATATAAAGGTTGTGAATTTTAGAGTATCCTTAAAATTCATAGAGTATTTGAGTTGGGCAGGCTCCTAAGAGATCATCCAGTCTTCACTAGCACATGTTACATTTCTGATACTTTGGAATACAATACTGAAGTAGAGAATTTTATAGAATTACCCACATTGAGCTGATACTTTACATACTTTATCATATCAAAAATTTCTTACTTTTAAAAATTACTGGAAAACCAGTATGGATTAGTAGATTATAGTTACATATTAACCAAATACTGATCCTTTATTTTCTAGGATTATCCTTCTATTGCTCACCTTGTCCAAAAACTCAGTGAAAATAACATTCAGACAATTTTTGCAGTTACAGAAGAATTTCAGGCTGTTTACAAGGTAACTATATAGTGGTTATGTTTGCTTTATATAAGTTAAAACAAGGTATATGTGCATAGATCTTTATTGTTTAAAGAAAAAAGCAAAAAGAAGTATAAATTAAGCTGTAGGAAAGTACTCTCAAGGCAGACTGGGTAAAGTTGCAGGTTGTGTCTTAATCATCTTTTCAAAAATTCTTTATGTCTGGCTCTCAAATATTTAGGCTATTCATCTGAGTTAATTCACCTTGGCATTTAGTATATATTCAAAACAGGTTTTAGATATTTTTAGTACATGGTGGTATAATAAATGTGTTTATGCTTTACGTGTGTTTTATATTTTACATTGTCTCTGTTAAGGAACTGAAGAATTTGATTCCCAAGTCAGCAGTAGGAACATTGTCTGCAAATTCTAGCAATGTAATTCAGTTGATCATTGATGCATACAATGTAAGTAATTGAAATTAATTTGTCTTCATACCTATTTACAGTAGGTCATTTAGTCTCCTGGGCTTTATCAGTACTGTCTTAGCCTAACTCTAGAAAAAGAATAGACATAAACATCTTGTTTAGAATTATCACTGGAAAAAAAAATCTGAATATTTAAAGATTGGTCTTGTTGCTATCAATCAGGTACTAGAAAATACAATACTTTGTGTTTTAGCTTCACCCCAGAGGATACTTGCTTTGAGCTTGAGATAAAATTCACTTCCTGACTCCATTAAATGGAGACCGTGGAAGGGATCTTTGTCCATTTCTCCTTTGCTATTTACAGAGGACAGAGCTTCCTATTTCCAAGAATCATTGTTTATGTCTTACCCGTACCTTTTGTTTTTGCCTTTGGAAGAGAGTTGCTTCAAAATGGAAGAAAAATAATTTTCTCCTTTTATGGTTCTGTTTCATATCCTGGTTAGCCTTGTTTTTAAGGACATAATAAACATAGTTGCTTAACAAATATTTGTAAATTTATAATCATTGACAGAAAACAGCAGTAAAATAGAAATAACACTCTTTGAAGAAATCCCATTCAATTGGACTTCTAAATAATTTATGGAAGAGGATTTTTTCATGAACCAAAGTCCACTGAATTTAATAGATTTAGTTTTTTTCACTTATAAATTAAAATTTTTTTTTTTTTTTTTTTTTTTTTTTTTACTGAAACTCATCTTTATTTTAGTCCTTATCTTCAGAAGTCATTTTGGAAAATGGCAAGTTGCCAGAGGGAGTAACAATAAATTACAAATCTTACTGCAAAAATGGAGTGAATGGGACAGGAGAAAATGGAAGAAAATGTTCCAATATTTCCATTGGTGATGAGGTGGGTGAGCATCACTTATTTAAACTTGGGTATTGGGTAGGGGAGAAGGCAGACAGTGATGTAGCTATTCATTCCTCATCTTACAGGTTCAGTTCGAGATTAGCATAACTTCCACAAAATGTCCTGAGGAGGACTCAAAAACCGTGAAAATTAAGGCTCTGGGTTTCACTGAAGAAGTAGAGATTACACTCCAGTTTATTTGTGAATGTGAGTGCCAGAGTGAAGGCCTTCCAAATAGTCCAGAGTGCCATGAGGGAAATGGAACGTTTGAATGCGGTGCCTGCCGGTAAGCAGAGACCTAGTCTGGGAGTGGTCCTGGTTGAGGAGGCCTTTCTTGAGAGGCAGGAAATCTTTCATTTTTGTCTTTGCGTCTCTGGTACTTTGCATGTAATAAGTGCTTGTTGAACTGAATTTGTTTGTTGAATTATTACTCATAAAACTTTAATAGCCCTCTACTTATTTCCAAAGCACATAAAGAAAACCCAACAATAACAATAAATGGTTTAATTGGCAGGAAGAAACATTATTAGATATAAACCAGTTAACAATAAAACTGTATATTATAGTTTTTATTTCTTTTCTAGCTTTTTAAAACATTGCATTTCATTCAAAACAAAAAGCTGTAAGAGAAACAGAAGATTTATTTTGAGGTAGAAATTAGCATTTTCTCATAAAATATTAAGTTGAATTTTTGAAGTCAAATATATATGTATATGCTTATACTAATGAAAAAGAAGCAATAATTTTATTTTGAATTTCATTTTCAAGTTTATTAGGTGGTTTTTCAAATTAAAAAGTAAAACTCTTAGGAAAATGAACATATTCTAAAATCAGTCTTTATCCTTAAAACAATAGAAGTAGGAAGCATCAATAAATCAGCAGGCATTTATTAAGAGCCTGGTAGGTGCCAGACACTGTGTTAGGTGCTGGAGAATGTAAATATAGTGACTTGTAAAGATTTTATGCATTCTGTTGGGGAAAACAACAAGTACATAGATAAGAAAGTAAAGAGAATACAGAGTAATTGAGTGGGGAAGAGCACCACTAGCTGTCAGAAGGATGAGAATAAGCTTCATGTAGAGGGTGATGCTTTAGCTACTCTTGAAGGAGGACGGTCTTGGGGGACAGAAGGGAGGAGGAAGAACATCCCAGGCATAGGGATCCTCCAGTACAAAGGCATGAGAGAGAGATGGAGTGTGGTCTGTGAGGAACAGAGAGAAGGCCTATTGGACTAGATCACAGTGTGTGGGAAGCACATCAATTTGATTCTAAACTACAAATATAAGTTGAAGAAAACAAGAAAAAATTACAATCTATACTATCTTTTAAAATCTTGAATATATTATAAATACACTTTGAATTTTTGGGAATAAGGCATCTTATTTCCAGTGACCTGTGGGTATTATAAATTTATTATTTATTGTAATAATACTACTATTAATAGCAGACCATCACTTAGACACAAAATTGTCTCACTTGGAAAATTTTCTTTTGAGCATCAGTGACCTGAAAGTACACATTGCTTGATTATGTTTTCAGTCTGAGTTTAAAATGCTGTTACATTCTAAGTTCACTTTCCTTCAGGACCAGGAGAAAAGACCCATATCGATTTATAAGATTGATCTAAATATAGAGGGAATCTTTGTTATCCAAAACTATTCTTAGTGTTATTTCCCACCAGTATAATTTCTATTATCATCAGGACTACTGCATGACTCATTCTTCATAAATTTTTTCAGAATTTTCTTATTTCATAGTTTATCATTGATAATTGCTCTTCCTTTAGGTGCAACGAGGGACGTGTTGGTAGGCATTGTGAATGTAGCACAGATGAAGTAAATAGTGAAGACATGGATGCTTACTGCAGGAAAGAAAATAGTTCTGAAATTTGCAGCAATAATGGAGAATGTGTCTGTGGACAGTGTGTTTGTAGGAAGAGAGATAATACAAATGAAATTTATTCTGGCAAATTCTGTGAATGTGACAATTTCAACTGTGATAGATCCAATGGATTAATTTGTGGAGGTAAGAATGAGTTCTGAAATTGCTCTGCACTTGATCACATTTGAGGGGACAGTTTAACTTGGTAAAGTTTAACTTACCTCTATATGGTGGGCATGGATAGAGATTTTTAAAGTGCTTATGCACAATTGTAAGATTGTCACATGAAATATCCAATTTTGAATTGCAGGAAATGGTGTTTGCAAGTGTCGAGTGTGTGAGTGTAACCCCAATTACACTGGCAGTGCTTGTGATTGCTCTTTGGATACATCTTCATGTATGGCATCAAATGGGCAGATCTGCAATGGCCGAGGAGTATGCGTATGTGGTTCCTGTAAATGCACCGATTCTAAATTCCAAGGGGCAACTTGTGAGATGTGTCAGACTTGCCTTGGTGTCTGTGTTGAGCACAAGTGAGTGTTTCTTAATAACTGTTAACTCTCCATGGATTCTGTCACACGCAAAGCCAGCCACATTCTTATCACTCAGAATAAAAGGTATAAAGTTATTAGTATGGCTAAATGTTAGATCCTGTGGAAGACCAATCGAGAATGTTTATCTAAAGTATTCTTCTTAAATTATCTTCCTCTAATTTAAATGTAAAGTAACAGAATAACAAGGCAACATTTTGATTCCATTTCCCATTTAATCAAAGCAGCTATATAAGTTGAGTTTAACTCTTTACTTATATACATAAGCTGAAAACTAACGATTAAGATAGAGCCAAAAGATCACATCTGCCGAAAATCTAGTAGCTGTAATAGCTATATATAGTTCCCTTTTAAAAGTGCATCATTGGCTTCCTTTTAGACAAATGTTGCTTTACTGGTACATTTGGACATTGTAGTGCCTGCCTGTTTTAATGTTCCTTTTCTGATTAAGCTACTATTTTAAAAATTCAGACATATCAATTATTATTGTTTTACATGTTTGGGAAATTATTTCAAACATATTTGAAACGTTACAAATTTGTGTCTTCACAGAGAATGTGTTCAGTGCAGAGCTTTTGAAAAAGGAGAAAAAAAGGACACATGTGCAAAAGAGTGTTCATACTTCAACATTACCAAAGTAAAAAGTCGAGAAGACTTACCCCAGCCTGGCCAGCGGGAGGCTCTCTCCCACTGTAAGGAGAAGGATGTTGATGACTGCTGGTTTTATTTTACATATTCAGTCAATGGAAATAATGAAGTTGTTGTTCATGTAGTGGAGACACCAGGTATGAAATCTTGTGGTTTCGGAAGGTTCTCTTCATTCAGACAAAAGCCTGTTATCAAATTTCTCAGTATTCAGAAAAGATTCCCAAAAGCCTAGCTTGAAGGGGATTTGTAAGAATTTATTGAACAATGTACAGTTTGAAATAAATTGTACTTAATTTACAAAATAACAAAACTTAATATCACAGCTTAAGTAGGAAAGGAAATCTTACATAAAATATATTTAGACCAGAATTTGACCCTGACTTACCAGAAAGAAAACCCTATGTGTTATTTGTGTTGCAAATATGTTATAAAGAAGAATCATTCTGATTGATTTTAACATTTGTAACTCATTTCCTTTCCATATGTGGAAAAGCCCCACTCCCTTCCATGCCCCACACTGGAAGGTACCATTGTTAGTGTACTCTGGCCCCAATATTGATTGGATTGGTCTTCTTCTACCTCTCTGTCCTACTATACTGCTAAGTATGAATGCTGAGATATGGGAGAAATGGGATAAATAAGTACACCATCTCTGGTCATTCTAGAGAAAACACGAACATTACTGGATTTGACCTATGTTATGTTCTACATTGGCAGCAGAAACTCAAATCCTGACTGAAAACCCAGGTCTTCCTTTTGTTCCATATGTTGTCCCCTTCACTCAGGAGGAATGGAAAAAGAGTACATCTATCCTGAAGCTAAAAAATAACTATCTGTTGTTTCCTTGAAAATGGCAGTGAATAGAAATGTCACTTTGAGATTCTATAGTTATTTTTAATTCACAAGTTTCTTGAGTTTTAGAAATAAAAAAGAATTTGATCAAGGAAAGAGGCAGAACTAACATATTCCTTCTCTGATCTGCCATTTCATGGGGCCGAGCCATATTAAGTACTTTTGAGTTTCTAAGTCTACACAGCTTTTCTTTTTAAAAAGTTTTATTGATCCTTTCATATCACCTTTGGTTATTAATATATTCCTCCCTTGTCCCTACCCAAAATGCTGTTCTTTGTAATAAAAAAAAAATTTAAGGGAGGGAGAAAATAACAGTTCAGCAAACCAACATGTAAACCAAGTCTTGACAGGGTATACGATAGTCCACATCCATAGCTCTCCCCTAGCTCTCCCAAGACATTTTGTTAATCCATCTTCAGTCATAAATTATAAGTTACACAGTATTCAGTTTTGATCTTTTTTCTTCCCATTTAGTTTTTTAATCTTTGTGTATTGTTGTCTTGGATTTGCTTTGTATCAATTCATGCTTCTGAATTGTTCACATTCATTGTTTCTTATAGCATCTTGCACTCACATAACAGTTTTGTTTTGTTTTGGTTTTTTTAGCTATTTTTTAATTGATCCAGGGGTGGGGAGCCTGCCACCTCCAGGCCACTTGTAGCCTTCTAGGTCGTTGGGTGTGGCCTTCTGACTGAGTCCAAGTTTTACAGAATACATCCTTTTATTAAGGAGATTTGTTCTGTGAAGTTTGGATTCAGTCAAGGGGCCACACTTGAGGACCTAGAGGGCCACATGTAGCCTTGAGGCCACAGATTACCCACCCCTGAATTCTAATCCATTGATAGAAAACATAAAGGGACCAATATTTTCCACCCACCACAATAGGGAAAGGTCTTTTTTCCTCCATTTCCACCATAGGGTTGCACTTGGAATGAATGAAGTAAGCAAACAAGCATCTATTAAGCACTTAGCATGTGCACAACACTTCTAAGTGCCGGAGATACAAATAGAAAAGTAAGATAATAGGGGCAGCTAGGTAGTGCAGTGGATGGAGCACTGACCTTGGAGTCAGGCTTACTAGCAGTGTGACTCTAGGCAATTCACTTAACCCCAATTGCCTCGCAAAAAAAAAAAAGAAAGAAAGAAAGAAAAGTAAGATAATCCATGCTCTTATTATTAGATACAAGGGAAATCTCTCATATTCAACCACTTGAATGTTTTAACCTCATTGTTACAAATTCTCACTCTGAGAAAGGGAGATTAAAATTTAGAGAAGAAAGGAAAAGATTCATCAAGAAATTGAAAACTACTGAAAATTTTGCCATAGAATGGCATCTATTTCATAAATTTTCTTAGCCCAGTAGAACATATTAAAATTAAGAAGGACGAGTCAGTTGGAGGAGTGTCTATTAGTGATGGTCTTTTTCTGCAAAAATTTTTCATAGCATTTTCGTAGCATAACGTAACATTCCTAGCTTTTTACTGTGGTCTGTTTTCTCAGTGTCTACCCTTCCCTTTTCACCTTGTAGAGTGTCCCACTGGTCCAGATATCATTCCCATTGTAGCTGGGGTGGTTGCAGGAATTGTGCTGATCGGCCTTGCATTATTGCTGATTTGGAAGTTGCTGATGATAATTCATGACAGAAGAGAATTTGCTAAATTTGAAAAGGAGAAAATGAATGCAAAATGGGACACGGTGAGTTGAAAAACAAACCAGAAATGCAATACTGTCCATAAGGTGAATCTTAATATTTCTAAAATTATGCTTCACAAATTTAAAATTTTAATTATTTCAAAATATCTTTATCCCCTAAAAATAATCAAGAACTTTAAGGACAATTTGTATTTAGAAGTAACCAAAGAATACATTCTATTATAATAAAAAATGAAAGTTTGTCTTCTGATTTTTATTGACCAAGTGTGCATTTGATTTCTAAATTATCTTATATTGTGCTATTTAATAGTGCCTTTTTCAAAAATGCCTGACCCTGAGTACATTAAAATTAAGAGGGATGGGATGAATGTCTGTTGAGAGTACATTGTTCTTAGAGATCTTTCTTTTCTGGGGGGAAAAAATAAAACATCAAAGTTGGGTTTTGATGCATATTATATGGAAACACTTCATATTTATGTTCTCAAAGACTCTTCTGTGTTTGGAGTTCTAGGAGAAAAGTGTCTGTCTGGTCATTCAAGTCTGGATTCAGAGCATTGGGTAGGGAGGGGATTGAATTGACATCTGCCTTGGCCTTCTTCCTCAGTGGAACATGCAGCCACAATTATAGAGGGTTATAATGTAATTTGCATTTCATTATCATATTAGAGGATTGGTTTTTTTTTAAATGCTCACTTTCTTATGTGTGGAGATTTTTCTTCTTGTGGTGTTTGAGATTGTCACTTATTTTCTTATTGTTGAAATCATTAGAAACTGACTTTTTTTCACTTCAGCAAGAAAATCCGATTTACAAGAGCCCTATTAATAATTTCAAGAATCCAAACTATGGACGTAAAGCTGGTCTCTAAATTTCCGTTCGTATTTTCTTTCCATTTCTGCCTTTCCTCTGCATGTGAAATTGATTCTGACTTTTACTGCACTGTGTGTCTTCCCATCACTTTCAGGCCTTTGCCAGCGTGGCTTTAACGGTCATGTTGCTTTTCTTTTGCCCTTTTTGTAAGGTGTGTGTGCCAGAAAGTTCTCACAGGCTTTGTTCCTAATTGCAAATTTTAACTTAATTTAAAGACCAATGATATTATCTTATGTAAATGAAACCATAGGATTTAGAAGGGACCCTAAAGTAGTATTTCTCCCTTATTTTATAGATAGGGGTAACCAGGTGGTGTAGTAAATAAAGCAGTGGTCCTGGAGTCTGGAAGACCCGAGTTCAAATCACATCTCAGACACTTAACAGCTATGTGACCTTATGAGATCATTTAACCTCTGTTTAACTCAATTCCTTCATCTGTAAAATGGGAATAATAATAGCACCTACCTTCCATGGTTGTTGTGAGGATCAAGTGAAATAATATTTGTAAAGCAGTTAGCACCATACCTAGTACATATAAATGTTAACTGTTGTTATTATATAGAAATAAAGGTGGAAGGGTTGTAACTTGCCAAAGATCACACACCAGTAAGTAGTAGATGCAAAATTTGAACCCAGGCCCTCAGAGTCCAAATGCATTGAATATTTTTCTACCACCACAACAAGGAATTCTTTCAGAAATAAAGCCTGGATTCTTTGGGTGGTGTTATCTCTTTACAGCTATAGAACAATTCTGGTGCTTTCATCTTTGAGTTGATATCTTTTTTTAAAAAAATAGTAAGTTGGAAGTCTTCAGTTGGAAATGCTTGGAAAGGAACCTTTATAATAATAATAATTTGAAAACTTTGTGTCTGTATTTGTATGTGCTTGAGATGAGTCTCGTTTGACATATTCTTTATATGCAGGCAGTAACCAAGGCAGACTCTCTTAGTGAATTTATTTTTCACCTGGCTGACATATTTATTAAATAGAGAGTCCTTTTAATGTAAGATTTCAAAATTCATGAACTTCTGTGACTTGCTCTTCACCAAGGGTAGGGAACCTGCTGCCTCTCTCTCTCTCTCTCTCTCTCTCTCTCTCTCTCTCTCTCTCTCTCACTCACACACACACAGACACACACACACACACACACAGATATATATCTATATAAATATAGAGAGAGAGATCTATATATCTATATGTGTATATATAGATACATATATAGAGAGAGAGAGAATATGTTGAAAAACAAACAACAGGGAATTAAGAAGGATTGGGAAAGGCTTCCTGTAGAAGGTTGGGTTTTAGCCAGCACTTGAAGGAATCCAGGGAAGCCAAGAAACAGATGAGGAGGGGACAGCATTCCAGACATGGGGGACAGCCAGGAAAAATGCCCATAGTTGGGCAGTGGAGAATTTGGTGTGAGGAACAGCAAGGAAACCAATGTTATTGGATTGCAAAGTTATGTGGTCGGGTATAAAAATATAAGAAAAGTAGTAAAGGGGTTGGGCCAAGTGGCTACTGGTCCAGAGGTCTTTTGATGTTGCCTGTTTGATGGGACAAGAGAGATAAACCACATTGTTAAACAGAGATAAGCCTTTTCTTTCCCACTGTAGTATCTGGGTCCCTTCAAAGTTACTATTACACAGCAACTTATTTTTTCTTTTTTAAATTTTTAATCCTTTGAGTAAGCAAGAAACATATCACTCTTTTAGGCCAAACAATGCATGTGCAAAGCCTACAATAAAAATATATTTTACAATATACATTTGTCATTTTACTACTAAAGCTAAGATTTCCCTACTGTGTGCTCTGATGTATGTAAATCAAATTATAGCACATTCCTCAGATACAGCACCTTGGCCCAAGAAGTAGGAACTTACTCAGACCTTGAACATTTTATATAAAGTTAATCCCTCTTCCCTATCTTCCTCCCAGCCCACCCCCTTTAAAAAAAAAATAAATTAGCAGAAACTCGGAGATTCCACTGCCAGTGGAATCACAAGTAGTAAATAGCAGAGCTGGGATTTGAACCCAGATTCTCTTATTTCAGAACCAGTGTTCTTTACACACTGCCTCTTATGGTCAAGGACAGAAAAGATAATTTTGTATATAGTATTAGACTTTGTTCAAAATTTGTAACTAGATTAGAAAGACATTGATGGGGCAGACACTGAGATGTAGGAATAGTTTTCAAATTTGTATCCCGAATTTGATGGTATTTTGCACTATATTGAGGTATTGATTTACCCTATGGAATGAGAAATTAACAGAAACTATCATTTAATAAATCCTTAAGAATTTTTTACCAGGTCCATTAAAGTATTAGTTTGTTAAAAATAATTATTTCTTTGATCTGTTTTTTGAGTTCATGAGCCAGTTTTAAAATTTTTCAAATGACTAAAAATCTTCAAGTTAATAAATTTTAATGGTTTGTTCTGTTTTGTTTTGTTTTTTACAAAATACTATTGTTATTAGGCTTCTGCTGGCTCACATATGACTCTTAGTGAAAAAAAGTATCAGGCTGGTATTTAGGAAAACTAAGTCACTAAATAACATTCTCTTAACTCAGGGCAAGTCACTGAATTTCTCCAAAACTTAAATTTTGAGGGTCTTCAGATTTAGAGCTAGAAGAGACTGGATTTAGATTGCTTTGAGAAAATAATAAATAATTGTTTATAACTCTGTAGTCAACACAAATTAGGACAAAATAGAAGTAATTCTTTTGCTTAAAATATTCAGTCTATAGAATTTAAGAGCTCTTTGGTTTTCTTGATTCATTAATGAAATCCTAGCAAGTTACTGTAACAAGATATTCCTAGATGTCATTTCTCAGGGCAACAGTAGGAGCAACAGAAACTAGTAGGGATCATCAAACAAATAAAGGGAAGAGCGTATTGTAAAACACTTTGTAAATATAGGACCAGACTGCCAAGGAGGCGTTGAGTGTTTTAGGGAGTTGTGAAGCTTCAGGGGAACTACGTAGTGTGAAGATTCCATGTTGACCAAGACACAACTCCACTGCTTGGGTGGAGTTGAGAGGTCAGTAAGTCCATCTTCCCTGAGTAGACTTATTTAGTTAGGAAAACAATATAAATCAACCCAGATGGCCATTGTAACTGCCCTTCACTTACCCATTCAAAGAAAAAGCCACTCAGATGACATTTCATTCACGTTGGGAATCTTTATTTTAGTACATTGCCAAGAATCCTTGGTTTAATTTTTGTGATATTTGATATTAACACCTCGCCCCATTCCCATCCTTCTTCCTTCCTTTCTACCTAACAGAAACTAGTCTGGGTTATTTTTATTTTCTTTTGAATTAAAACTAGGCCTAATGGTTTCATTTGGATAGGCATGTGCTCTTAGTTTAATTTGACGTGCTAACTTTGCATGTTAGGTTTTTTTGCTAATTTGGTTTTACCTTGAAATTACTCAATGAAATGTTTGACTGTGCAATGAATTTTTCTCATAAGGTAAGGTCTTCCATTAAATTGTTCCATTTGAGTCCATCAATATTATCCAAACATGATTTCACTTTTTTATGAGAAATTATGTCAAAACAATATATAGAAAACTCTTAAATGCAAACTCTTTTTCTTTCCTTGTATGTAAATATATAATACAATAACCAATAATCAGATTATTATAAATGGGCTGGAAGTACCTACAAAATCAATTCTTTGCTTTGTGGTCTGCTATTTTTAGAACCTAGCATGTTCATACTACTAAACTATATTTTTTTTATTAAAATAGATTATAAAAATATTTTTGGTTTTTCTCTCACCCTTGCCATCTCTTATGGCAAAGATTTAAAAAAAAAGAAAAAAAAACAGAGAAGGGGGGGAGATCAGTAAATCCAGTCTGTCCATTGGAAAAAAATCTGATAGTATATTCAGTGTTGCATGGCCATAGACCCTATACCTCTGCAAAGGAATGGGAAAGGGGAATCAAATCTCTTATTTGGGACCAACCTTTGAACTTTATTTTTAAAAAACAAATCATCATAAATGAGATATTATGCTTATTTTCACATCTCTGTAAGAAAAGAAAACGCAACCACTTCTTATTTGTAAGAGGAAGAAGGGGGTAGAACAAGTTTAGATGACTTATTCAAAATAGTTTGGTAAAATCAGCAGTATTACTATGGTATCTTAACTCCCACTGTGTAAATTCCTGCCCAGCTCCACAGCATCTTTATTAAATGTATAGATTACAACTTTTATAGGACCTTATCAAATACATGGTCTGTCTGTGAATGTCTCTGTGACATTAGGATAAGTCAGTTGAGTTACTGTGGTTTATTTCATAGTTCACTACAGATTTTTTTGATGACGGGATACAATGTGTGTATGTATATGTATGTGTATATATATATATATAACATATGTATATAGTGCACAATACTATCTCCTTTATATATCATTTTGTTGTGCATCTAATCTTGTAAATTCCCAGTTCTCCATGTAGTCACATGTGTCATCTTGCAGATATTTGTCACCAAAAAAGACCCGCATAAACACTTCACTGAAGTGTGATAAAAATAACATTTTCAGGAGCTCTCTACAAATAATTTTTTTTAATGACATACCTATAGCTTATGTAGAGTACATTCTACAGCACTAGAATAATGTTTCAAGATGTGTCACCAGATAACCCTATGATATAGTTACTGTACCACATTTTTTATACTACTTCCCAAAAGAAAAGAGCAAACCTATGCACAAGTATAATTGTAGCTGCTGTTTAAATGGGATCAAAGAAGGGCATTTTCCTTCATACAATGCAGCAGCTAGTGCATGCTGAAAGTTTTCTGTGTAGTTTGGGATCAGCTTGGTATATGATATAGGTGGTTTACTATGGAGGCTTTGAAAATGTACTATATATGTGGTTTTAGATCTTTTACCAGGATATTAAGTAATATATTGTTGCCATATTAAAAATGAAATACTTAAATGAGTTTATGAAGAATGATGTAATTATCATTTTACTCACTTTTCATAATTCAGTAACATTTATTGAATCAATCTATATGATTTTTATGGTTAAGTTTCCTTTAAAGTCTCCTGAACCCTCAATAAACATATTGGGGAACACCCTCACTGTCCCCGCAAATGAGAGTTCTTACCATAGAGGAACCAATGATACTTTAGATGTCTTTCCATTCATTCACTCACTCACCCAATGTTGATTGATTGATTGCTATGAGTAGGATTCCATGTCCAGTAATAGAGTAAGCAGCTGTACAGTCAGCTAAACCACAGAAGTCATGCTTTCTTTAAATCATGCATAAAAGTGGCCACTGAAGACATACAGGTAGGAGGTACATTCCTTGCTCAGGATAAAAGAGCTAAGTGTACCTTTCAGGGAAGAGTGAATGAAGTCTGAACATGTTTGATCTAGCACTAGTATGTTGGAATGCCTTTACATTTTTTAATCGATGATTTTTTTAAAAATACCAGTGCCTCTTTTGAGTAACTGCTCTCTCATCCCCCCAACACCCCCACCAATGGAACTGTCCCATGAAACAAAGGGACAGTTAAGACAAATCAAAGATGGATATGGAATGCACCATTCCATGTCCATTGTCTGCTTCTTTCCTGGGAGGAAGCACATGTGTTTCATCATTAGCCCTCTGGAATCAAAAATTGTCATTACTTTCATATGAATTCTGGTATCTCTTAGTGTTCTCCTTTACTTCTTTGTGCTCATTTTGTTCCCTTAGTTCTCTGTTCTGCATCAGTTTATGCCTCATACCAACAAGTTCCTTTGAATTCTTCACATTTGTCAGTTCCGTTGTATAGCTTGAGTACCTTTTTATTCAATCAATAGAGAAAAACTTTGAGTCTGTTATGATCTTTTATTAATGCTTACTCCTGATTAAGGAAAAACTCAAAAGGCAAAATGGATATAGTAACTTACTTGTATTATAGTAGTTTTTATGTGGTGTTTTGTCAAATAGCTTAACTTTACAATACAACTAATTTATTTTTACCCCTTTTTTTTAGGGTGAAAATCCAATTTACAAGAGTGCGGTGACAACTGTGGTCAACCCTAAGTATGAGGGCAAATGAACATGCTTATGCAAATCCACAACATTTTCTGCAGGGTCAGTTTTTATAGTCACAGTAAGATAGCTTTAGGGCAATACCGCAGTGGTTTTACTAACTCGTTACATGTATGTGTTTCCTATGCAGGTTTTGAAAATGTACAGTATGTATAATTTTTTTTTTTTGCAAATAGAGTTATAATCAGTGCCAGGGACTGACAGAAAACTTGAGATAGGATCTTGATCCTAGTCAGATGAGGTTAACATTGTGCCTTTTTGACCTATTCCCTCCTGAGCTATTGATATCTAGGTCTTTAGGAAATGTAAGATACTGCTAAGAATACTTTGAGAGGGAAATGGTTAAAGTAATCAGCATGATGAGGTCTGTCCATTAAGTATTAAATGGAATTTTAGCTTTACAAAAATATCAGGGCTTGAGTTTGCAAATGCATTGAATCCAAAGTAATTACTTAGCTATTAGCTTGGTTAGAAATATTACTTTTAAACTTATCTTTTTGAGATTTGTCTGTGAGTCACCTCTGATTGATTACATTGCTATAACTTAAGCAGGTTGAGAATTAAGTGCATAAAAAGTTTTAAAAATATTTGATTAGTATTTTCCTACTGTCTACAGGGAGACTAAAAAATGTGGAATGAATTGAAAGTATTAGGAAGGAGAAAAATAGCTTTAAAAAAAACCAATCCGTATGCTGTTTTCAAGAGTTACTGATTTGTACATAGTAACAGCAATATTGTTCGATGAAGAATTGTAAATGACTTAGCTATTCTCAGCAATACAATGATCCAAGACAATCCCAAAGGACTAATAATGAAGCATATTGTCTGTTTACAGAGAAAGAACTGATATTGTTTGAGTACAGACTGAAGCATGCTATTTTTCACTGTCTTTCATTTTTTTTCTTTTATTCAAATCTTCTTGTACAAAATGACTAATATGGAAATGTTTTACAGAATTGCACATGTATAACCTATATCTGATTGCTTTACCATCTAACGGAGGGTGGAGGGGAGGGAGGTATAGAATTTGGAACTCAAAACTTTAAATATGTTTTAAAAAATGTTTTTTTACAGTTACTGGTGCCTAATAACTTTTATGCGTTCATTTGTAAATTCAAGCCAGGACCTATAATACTGCAAACTATCCTGCAAAGCAGTCCTTGAAAAATATTATTTACATAAAGGCCTTAATTCACGTGTTGTCTGCTGACTTGAGGACTTTTTAGTTTAAAATACTTTTATTTTATTTTGTTGAAAGCCTGGTGCTTTTGGTCACCATTTCTAATCTTTTAATGTATTTGATTACCATTTTTTGTAAAATTTTGTGTTGACACTATTCTTTTGCCACCTGAGCTGTAAATTCTGCCTTTTCAGCAAACACAGGAGGTTTTACTGTGATGCACAGGACGATCGATCATTGCTCTCCTCTCTTATTTTCAACAAGTGCCATAACAGAGCATTGTACATTTGCCTCTGGCCATTTGAATTGCCCGTCTTGTTCTCTACTAGTCACATTCTTGTTTTAAGTGCCTTTTTGTTTTAACAGTTCACTTTTTACAATGCTATTGAAGTTATTTATTGAATAAAAATGCCTAAAATACCGAAATTAGATTTGTTCTCTTTGTATTATATGTTCCTCTCTCTCCTCCACCCCAAAACTTTTGACAGGTGGAACATGGAGGTGGGGAGATTAATGCCTGAGGACACAGACTAATGTTCTGGAAATGCTGGTGCTGGGGCAATACAGAATAATGAGTTCCTGACTCCTTGTTGCATAAGGTGGGAAACAAAGGAGCAGCACTTAAAGCTGGGATAGATGCACCCCCAAAAGATGGAATGGCCCCTTGTACCTTGGGACAACCCCAATAACCCTTTACAAGGTATACAAATAGAGCGGACTGAGGAAGAAAAGAAATAGGAGAGAACTGTGGAGATAATGAAGACAAGAAAACAAAAAGGCAAATGGAAGAAGTAAGCCCATCTGTCCAGGAATATTATAACAGGCACTCCTGGTATTGGATGGGAGATGATGTCTCAAGTTCTTTCCAGTTCTAAGATTCTGTATAGCAGCTGTTCTGTATGCAGCTGTCCTCCTTTTCTTGAGTGCAGCCCACTTAGCAAATATGTTGCAGGACATACTGTTTATGAAGTATGGCACAAGAAGCCCTGATAAAGGGCTCAGAAATCTGATAGGGTGATTGATAAAACGTTCAGGTATTCCACACTACTACCAATGGAGCACATGGTGTAAGATGTCATCATAAAGCCCTTTCCAGCTGTGTTCCCAACCAGTTTTTCCCCAATTATATTTGTTAAATGTTAAATTCTTTGCCTAGTTTTTATTTATAAGCTTATCAAACACTAATCTTACACATTGGGTTGAATGTCCATTGTATGTATTTGTTTGTTATGTTTCTTTTTCCCCCAGTACAAGTGGTCTTAATGCTTTATGTTATGGGACATAAACTGCACCTCACAAATTGGTATTTTGTCTCCTAATTTTTCTAGGCAAATTTTATGACTTTGTTTAATTCTTGAATAGCCTTCATTTTAAAAATTTTCATTAAAATGTAAATTAATTTGGATAGTATTTTTTTTTTTTTTACTATATTCACCTGACATATGAACATCGCATATTCCTTACTTAGATCCTCCTTTGTTTTGGTTAATGTGATTTGATAGATGTCCTCATGCAGGTCCTGTACATTCCTATATAAGTTAATTCCCAAATACTTCATAGTTTCTCGTTATATTTGGATTTTTTATCTTTATTAATAAGAATGTTGATTATTTTATGGGTTAATTTCATATTCTGCAAGTCTCTTGATTTTCGGATTTAGATAATTGGGTTTTCCAGACTATCCAGTCATCTGCAACAATAACATTTTGGTCCTTTGTTTCCCATATTAATCCCTCTAATAATATTATTCTATCTTACTATATTTGCTATAATTTCTAGTAGTAAATGAAAATGGTAAGTTGAATCCTTGCTTTGTACTTTTTTTTATAGGAAATGTGTCTAAAGTTTTTCTAGTGCCTATTGTGTTGATTCTGGACTTTACAGTAGATAATCTTTTACTGTGTTGAAGAAAACTCCCTCTGTTGTTCTTTTTAGAGTCTTTACCATAAATAAATGTTGAATTTTATCAAAGGTTTTTTCCTGTATCAACTGACAAATATTTTTAGCTTTTTGGATTATATATTTTGTGATGGTACTTATGTTTCTGGCATGAATTAGCATTGCAGGGTCATCTCAGCTAATTCTAAATCATTTTCTTAAATATAGCTTCCTAGCCTCATTTGCCAGGTCATCTGGTGGGGAGGGGTCCTGTAGGTGAGGATGGGTCAGCAGGGTGGGCATGGATGTTGTATGGGGTAGGAGCTGGGAAGGACCTGGGATCTATATAAATAATGGTGGCTGGTCTTATACTTCATTTAAAGGGGGGGGGGGGGGGGGGGGGGGGCCCTGGGCCTTTTTAAAAGGGGGTACGGGGGGCGGGCCGCAAAAAAATTATGGGGGGGGGGGGGGTTTTATAGTGGGGGGGGGGGGGGGGGGGGGGAGGAGATGAGTCCTGAGCCTATTTAAATAGTAGTACAGGGTCCTGTCCTCAAATAACTTATAGTGGGGTCAGGTGCTTCAGCAAGTGGGCCGGGCTGAGTTGAGTTTGGCTGCAAATGGATGTAGACAGTGAATCAGAGGATGGGCCCAGGTTCTATTGGTTGCAGAGCTGCCCTGGGGTCCCTGTCAGTAGAAGTCAACATGATCAACATGTAACATAAGAGGGAGGAGCTCCTGATGATCCCCTGAGCAGCAAAGGACATGTAGGTGATCAGCACATGATGTGCATGTGGGGCTCGTGATACATGTATGATCAACAAGTGGTGGGCCCTTGACCAGTTCCTGATGACCAGCTGTGGGCAGGATTAGGAAGATGATCAGCAGCTGAAGTCCAGTGTGAGCAGCCAGCAGCTACCGTGTGTGCATGATCTTCCAGTGCTGAGCAAAGTGTGATTGCTATAGCTGTTTTGGTATGTTCTCTGATGTTGCTTTCCTCACTTCGTGTACATTTTCCTGTTTCCCTGAATTATTCCTATTTACCACAGATCTTGTTTCACAATCACACAACAGATTTCATTTAATACTTTATACTTCATCAGAATACAGCAAATCTGGTGATATAAGCTAGATAGAATTAGATCATTTGAATGTTTTCTTAACTGTAGTATGTCTTGCCTTCTGTGGCATGAAAATTTTTCCTGGAGGTAAATTGTGATCCTGAAAATAAAGCAACAGGTAGGTAGCTATGATTTTTGAAAATTCAAATTCCAGAATTCTGTATTTACAAACATAATTTAAATGTATGTTTTTGCTCAGTGGTCAAATTGGGCAATATTTCTTGGGATTTTGCAAAGTCCTCTTAAGTGAACTTCCACTCTCAACAACATATCCTTTCTTTGGAAGCTACTAAATTCAAATATTCCTGTCAGATATGAATGCTGCTAGATGGGATTTGGCCTTGTAGATAATCAAAAAACTGCTAAAGAGGCGCTAATTTTTAGAACTGAACAGGTCTTGAGGTCAAGCAGAATTCCTGCAGATGCCCTGCAATCTACCACCTTCTGATGTCCTCCTAGCCACTCTCATTGGTAAACTTTTTATCAGATTGTATAATTATCTAATTTTTGAAGCTATTTGCGCCTCTTCTTGGTGCTATGGTGAAGGTGAGGGACCTAATATCATTCAGTAGCTTGTCCTTGAATGGTGCCTAGAAGCTATTTACATTTATTTGGAAGAAGAATGTGCTCTGTGAATGTTTAGTTAATGAATTTCCTTGATAAAGAGCACTGGATAAGAACTGTCTTCTAAATTACTTTATTTTTTTCTGGAAATAGGGGAAACTGACTTTTATGCTCACTAATAGCTAAATTTTCCTTTAATAAAGGCCAGATTAATCTGGACCTTTTTGCAGTGGGGGTGGTGTGGGGTTACCTCTAGCCACCAGATGTTTTGTCTTTATTTTTTTTTCCTCTCCCTTCTTCTTTCCCTTAATCTTCTTCATGTGCTGACCATTCCTGGCCTTTCCCCTTCTAAATTCTCTTAAATGATTTCAGAATTAGGAAGCATTTCTGCATGACCCTGCTACAATGCAAGTAAAGTTGCCCCAAAGGTCATTTAGAGGAGCCAGTTGATAGAGTCTGGTATCAGAAACTGATAGGCATCGGTTGTGCTAGCAAATTCATAAGAGATGCCTGCCTCATATGGCAAATGAGCCACTTCAGAACCACTCTCCACCCCATCCTGGCATTCATTATACTGTACTGCTATACTGTGCTGTACTAAAAGAAGCAAACTTGTTTTGTGTAAAGAATGACAGTGGCAGCTTTGATGTTTGTGGTGAGATGTCCACCCCTTTGTGGTGTGGGTGCATAAACTCAATGTGGAAATTTCTTCCACTATTACAGATTGACCACTAGTTTCTAACTTAGGGTTTTTAGAGAATTTGGTGGGGAGGGGGGCATTGAAATGTGAAGTGACATGGTCACACAGCTAATCTATATCCATGATGGGATTCAAATCCAGTTCATCACTCTAGCCAATAGGTCATGCGGTCTTCAAAAGAATGATGTGGCAAAGCAAGACATTATTTAAATTCTAAACACCTCCTGACATAGACATACTTAGCTCTTCGCTTAGTTGTACCCCGTAGTCCTCTAGCTATATCATGTTCTAATTTTGTTAAATGCATTCTCATCTTTCTTAGGAATGATAGGGTTTTTTATGGTCATGG